CCTTTCTGTACCTCTGTGCTAAGGCATATACCAGCCATGTGATGGGTTCCAGTGTGAAAGACTTAGAAAAGTGTGTGATAGAAAAAATTATCTTATTAGAGTTCTTTTTGATTAAAAATCCCCAACTTTTTTCGAAGTTATCATGTGTTTTCATGTTCAGTTAGTAGCACTCTTTTCCTATACTTTCTTCTACCTGTTGCCTCTTCCTTTCTCTATCCATGGGCCCTGATGTCCCATGGGGAGTTTGGTGTCTAAACATCTGGGCATGGAGGTATTTTGTGATATGTTTTTATTCCTTATTTGTATATTCCTCATTTACTCCTTATACTTATATTACTTACTTTATTACTTACTTTATTACTTATATTACTCATAATACTTTATTACTTACTTTACTTATATTACTTACTCATATTCCCCATTTACATGTTCCTGAAAGTACCATACTCGCCGATCATGTATAATCTCTTTGTTTGAGGAAGATGACATCCAAAAACAGCAAATGGTGAAGAGCCTTGGGGTTGGGATTTGGCTATGTATCTCCATAGCTCCTCCCAGATTGAAAATTCTTTGATTCTCTGAAATTGGAAACTAGACATTTGAAAAGGTGGTGCATTTGAAGCCAATTTTCCCTTTAACTCTCTCCTCTTGGGGGGTTGTGTGTGTGTGTGTGTGTGTGTTTACTGAACATGTGTATATTTTCCACTTCCCCATCTGGCATCTGCTTTAGCACCAGCCCAGCTAGCTGCTCTGTGTCAAGAGTACTTTAGCCTTTTCATTATGAACAAGAAAGAACTGAAATAATATAAAAAAGAAAATCCTTCCACCATCTCCCTCCCCACCTCACTTTTTGTTTTGTTGTTTCAAAGCAAGTTTCTTGCCATTTACCTTTGCATTTGCATTGCTTATTGATTGGCAATTTTAAAATTGTTTATTGTGCTCTTTTGTTTCACTGTTCAAGAGCTAAAACAAAAGCTACCAGGCCCTGCGAGGTACACATTTGCATGCGGTGAGCGTTGCCCAAGGAAAAAGTAATTGCTAATGCATATTTATGTGGCACAAATTTGCCATTTGTTTATGCATAAAATTATCAATAGTGCAGGGCGGCCCAGCCGTAGAAAATGGTGACCTTTTTAGCTTAATAAATAGAAATCAGCTGTTATTGTGAAGAGATCAGCCATTTATTCTGTGTTGAGGGACATTGCCGGGAAAATGCAGATTGAGGCTGGCAATATCATTAAATGGAAGGCCAGTGACCCTTTTGGTAGAGTCTATTATACTTTATCTAATAGGGGATAAATGACTCTGGTTGGCAAATGGAATAAAGAACAACAGTTTTTCTTTCTTTCTTTCTTTTGTAATTTTATGACTATGAGGATTTTAAGCCAGTAAAACTGAACAGGAAATCTCATGCTGACCTGTTGCTAGAATTTTCTGAAAACTTATCTGTTTTAAAGTTGCTTTTTCTATTCATTATTCTCTGACTATTTCAGTTAGTACTCACTGAAACCCAAAGTAAATCGAATGATATTTTTCCAGGAAAATAGTTCTTTGAGTTTTTAGCTTTCTTTCCCCCTTCCCTTTTTTTTTTTTTTGTTTTTGTATTTTGTTTTTTGACATGCTTTTATTTGCAATGCAGGCCTCTTTTTTACATTTTAACAAGGTTGCTCTATATTGCATATCTTAAAAATAGAACAGGTAGAAGATATTCTCCAAAAAAAAAAAAGTTTACAATGTTTCTAAACTATACTTTTTGAAACAAGCATAGTACTTTCTAGGTGGTAGGATTGGTTCTGAAGTGTGTGGGTCATTTGAATCGAAGAATCTTCTGTATATATAAAACCTTCTAATCAGCCTATCTTATTAATACGTGAAAGCCCACCAGGCAGTCACTGTATGATTTGGTTGTTGCCCTGCTGTCTATGAGAGACGGAAAGCTCTTATTCTCTGCAGAGCTCACCAGGGACTATGGTTTCAGTGTGATTTAACCTGACACTACTTTTATTTGGCTAGTCTCTCGGTAGTATGTTAGTAAGTACTTCTGACCTTTAGGTTTTCTTATCTGTCTTTTTCAACCATTGTAGCATTCACTATTAAATGGAAGTAGTCCTCACTTTTTAGGTATTAATGTGTTATATGCAATGTGCTCAGAATGTTATGTTAGTTATGAAGCAAGATAATGAAATAGAGACCTGCACACTCATCCACCTCAGGACATGGTGAGCCTCTTTGAAGCCACCGACATGCTTTTCCCTGGTTGTGATTCTTCACATGAATGTGCCACACCAGGTTTCAAGTTTCTGCAGTCATAGCTTTGCAGTCACCCATCTTTCCCTCCTGCTGCCCTTTAGCACAACAGTGCATTCAGCAGCATGTCACCAGAGTGACTGAGTAACCTTTTACTGGCAGAAATGGGTCTGTGGTTCCTTTTTTAAAGCAGAGGGTGTAAATAGGATTCAGACAGTAGGGTACATTAGTCCATAAAATGAATATATTTTTTATGTCATTTATAAGGTATTGATTTTAGGTCCATTAGATTCACAGTCCCTGGTGAGAGAAAAAAACAATGATTTAATGGGGAGGTTGGAATTCCAGAAGGAAGAGCAGTGGTGATTAACCCCTTCTTCCTCAGCTCCTGGCCTGATCCCTGTTATATAATATCTTCAAGGGACTGAGAAGAGGCCCCTGGGGGAAAGGAACAGTATATCATCTGCTTCCTGCAGTTTACAAGGGCTCACAAAACTGATTTTAGCTCCTTCACTACCCTGTCTCAGAATGGTTTAAAACAGCTATCTCTAGGTTGATAAGTGTTGCCAGAATTATTTTTGTAAGGTAGCTCTGAGGTCAATTAATGCATTTTATTTTTCTAAAACCTTATTTCATTGTTTAAAGAGATTGTATGATATTAAAAAATCAAGTTAGAATTTTTCTTGGTATTTTTTTTTTCCTAAGACAGGAAATTTCACCATGGTGTCATGCAAGTGACAGTATTTCTTGGGGAAATTTTCAGTGATTTTAGTTCAAATGACCATCATGGTAATTTTTAAAATAGGGTGTTGTGATTTCCTGTTGCATAAATACAGAGAAAATTATTGGCTTACACAAGCCTCTTTATCAATAAGAAGACCACTAAAATATTATTTCACTTCTATGTAATTAAATTCAGATACTGAGCACGCATGGTAATTCTAATCAGTTTCATCCAGTTAATGTCACTACCACCTTAAAGGAGTTTTCCCTTAGTCTGATTTGGCAGTTACATCTCCGTTCTTACATTTGATAAAATCCACTTATAATATATATAGAAAATTTGTTTAAATTCCAATTAACTCTCTAATCTTCTAATTTAGTGATAGATATGGTTGAAGAAAAATATTCAAGCTGAAACCTGATTATCTCAAAACTTAATCTGATGGAAAGATCATGGTATCAACAATCATTTTTAGAATTTCATATTTTGTTTTTCGAGTTTTCTGACAAAAATGTAAAAATACAGGCTCCCTCTTGTGGGTAGAATTACCACCTGTGTATTTCTGTGTTGCCCAAAATAGAATGTGGCAACATTTTTCTGTTTCGTTTTTAAGTAGATTTTATAGTGAAGTCTCTTTATATTTGGTCAGATGTGACATTTCAGTCAACTTTAAAAAAGTAGAGTTGGAGGCCTCCCTGGTGCACAAGGAGTTAAGACACAACCTGTGAAGCATCTGCAGCCTCTGCAGCATGAGTTCCATCCCTCCGCTGACCAGGGAGCTACCCACATGGCGCAGCAGACCTCTCCTGACTTGCCCGCTGCTCCCCTCAGCAGTGTATTTTGGTCAATCTGACTGTTCTGTTCCCCACTCTGTCTCTGGTGAATCCTCTCACCCCCCACACCTCTGGCCTGTACCCCAGCTCTTGTATGCATAAATATATAAATCTTTTAAAAACAGTTGTGTTGGGGCACATTTTTTAGTAAGATTTTTAATTAAAATAAACAAGTGTTTTTAATTAGGAGACTATGTGTTGACAATCTTTATTTCACTATAGCAGCATAATTTCTGACCAGAATTTTCAGTTATAACTGTTTCTATTTTGAAGTGCTCGCCAATGGAGTAACTAGTGAACTAATGAAATAATGTGGTTTTGTATGAACATGGTGGCTTTTGGATTTCTGTGCTTATTAACAAAAGCTCAAACACTGGAATGAAGTAAAATCCCTCCCTATCAAGCATGTTTCAGATACATACATATGGTAGTAAAACTCTCCAAATACCATAAACCCTGTGATCAAAACTGAATAATCAATGCCATGATAAGAATGTACACCGAAGCATTACTTCAGTTCTCTGTAATTGAACTGGTAGAAAAGAGTCCGAGGTGGATACCACGCTGTGGTTTCTACAACGTATGGATTCCTTGTTTTCAGAAGTTTGAATCTTGAGAATTTCGACTTATTGCAGGGAGTCATTTCTGTCCAGCCTGATGAAACTGGCAACAAAATATGAGAGTAACAAGAGCTGTATTTCAACAGTTGAGCTGGCAGTTCAGTCATAGAGATGTAAGCAGGAGAAGTGAGTCTAGAGAGAGCTAAATGACCCCGTGAACATTGCCTTGTCTGTGTAATTGGAATCAAGGACCTATGAGGAGACCTGAAGATCCTTCATTAATCATTCCAAGAAATAAGAATCCACCTTAATATTGCCCATACTAAAAGCATCTATAGGATTTTTACATGAATATTAGACAAAATGGCTGAGTTCTGGGAGAATTAACATATATTCATATATTTATGTAACTTATAAATTTTAAATGCATATAAATTTTAGATCAATTCTCATGGCATGATAATGTCAAATGAATGCCTCCCATTCCATAAATAAAAAATTTATTATATTTATATATGTAATTATGGATATAAATTTTATTTTGAAGACTTAAGCATCTGCTTCCAAGAGTCATAAGTTGATATTTTACTAAAGGAGAACAATGCATTGTTAATGGTCTACTTTTAATTTTTCTAGCACTCCTCTTGCTGATGACACGCATCCTGTTGGCATCTGCTTACAAGATTTTGAAAGCTGAACAGAGAATTTTGGCACTGCCCTGGGTTGGAAAAAGGTATTTTCGTAAAACACACTCTACTCTTTGTAAATGGATAACTGCATTTGCTACATCTCAAAAATGGAAATTATTGACTTTTTTTAGTTTTAATTTTTCAAAGTAAAATATACAACAGACAGATGCCTATAAAACTATAGCACATAATCTTATATTCAAATGACAACTGGCTTTGTAACTATAGTTTTGAAACACTTTATGAAGTTAATGTCTCTAAATTGGCAGGCAATATAATTTCTTTCTTTTTTAAAAAATGAGACATACCTTTCTTGAAGTTGTAAAAAAATTTTTTTTCCTGCACTGAGAAGTGTTTTTCTAAAAATTAGTTGCTGCCCTTTTTGGTGTTGTTACAAAATAAATACTGTGGGTCATGATGGATATGGCACACAGTTCACAAAGATTTCCATAGGCTATTAAGTATTGCAGGGTATGTACTGTAAACATTTTTTTAAGGAAGTTTTGCTGAAGTCAAACAGATATTTTCCAATTTTCTTGGCAGAATAATTTAGTAGTCTCTATCACTGTGCGCATTTATGAAATGTTTCCTTGTCTTTTCAAAAAAGTTACTCCCTTGGAAACAGAAACTGAAAGTTTGACCATAGACCCAGCATTGAAAATCTTCTAATCTGTAGCTGACTAATATGAAGTGGGTGTCAGTAGGAAAGTTTGTAGATAAGGAATCCTGCTGTTTAGAAGTGCTTTGTGGGCCTCCCTGGTGGTGCAAGGGGTAAAGTACCGCACTATGAAGCAATCCACAACCTCTGCAGCCTGAGTTCAATCCCTGGTTTGCCAGGGAGAAATCTACATGTCGCAGCAGACCTCTCCTGTCTCGCCTGCTGCTCCCCTCAGCAGTGTATTTCAGTCAGTCTGCCTGTTCTGTTCCCTACTCTGTCTCTGGTGAGTCCTCTGACCCGCCCCCACATCTCTGTTCTGTACCCCAGCTCTTGCATGCATAAATAAATAAATATTTTTTAAAAAAAGAAGTATTTTGTACCTAGTGACATGGAAAAGGAATTCTTTTTCCTCTTGATCCCTAAAAAGAATATTGAAATATGGTCATCTCAAGACATATGTTTATTTGGGGAAATGCTTACAATTAGTGGTAATTGTTGCCTTCTCCAAAAACTAAACTAAATAAATTGTTAAAATCCTAAATAATATACATTTTTTTTTTTTTTAGTTAGGCAGACCCAGATCTCAGACCCAGGTCTTTCACTAATCTAGTGTTAAGCCTACTCAACTGAGACACTATGCTCTAAGGTATAAGAACAAATAATTATGGGAACTGCAGTTCTAATACAAACAAGTAATAAAAGAAATGCAAAGTTATGCCTGACTTATTATCTAACTAGTACAAAGTAGTTTGGAATCATATGTTGTAATAAGAATGTGGCAGAAGGGTGCTTTTAATAAAGCTAGCAAAAGGTTATATTTGTCCAACATTTCCACTCTATTAGTTATTAAAAGATTAGTTGCATGTAACCCAAAATCAGTTTTGAAAGATAGAACTTTATGTTTCTGTTACTTGAATCTGTGCCATAGCTCAGAGGTGGTAGTAGGTGACAAGTTACCAGGGACCTGGATCCTCCATCTTTTGCTTTGTTACTCTGAGCATGTGACTTTGTCCTAGAGTTTAAAATATCAAGCATTGATATTGCAGCATCACGTCCATTTTCAAACAACGGGATGGAAATGTTACAAGGATAAGATGATGGCTCTCCATTTAAGGACATTTTTGAAAGGTGTCTGCCCACACTCCTTCCACTTACATTCTGTGGGCTAGAACATGGTCAAGTGGTCATGTTGCACTAACAAAGAGACTGGGAAGTGTCATTTTTTTTTTCTGGAAGGTAAAAATGGGAGACATGTTACAGTGGAAGAATAATAGAATAAATATTAGGGACTAACAGTATCTTATAATTTCATTTCTAACAACTTTATTAATGAAAGTATCAAAGATGAAATTTATGTAAACATGTTTATTTTCATATGTTTATAATGGGAAGAATTTGAGATTGACTAAACTTTTCAACAGTAAAACAGTGATTAGATATATTTGGGTACACACATATGATAGGATAATTATGCAACCAGTAAGATAATTTTAAAAAGAATTTTAAAATGCATGTCATATTACACATGAGGCTATATTAGGTAGAGCAAGTCAGAATCCACACTAAAGATACTTTGTGTGTCCAAATTTGTGTGGGTATACACATATATACTTGACACATGTATACAGAAAAATTAACAGAAAAGTAACTGTGAATAAATACATCAGATGTTATTAGTTCTGAATCAGGGACTCCATAATTTTAATTTTCTTCATAGCTTACACGTATCTTGGCAATAAGTATGATTTAGTATTAAACTTTGAGAAATTTAAAATGTGTGGGATTTCAAAAGGTTGCTTAGTGTCCTTGTTTATTAAGGTACAATGTGTACATCTACTGAAGGGGAGATGAAATAGTTGAACACCCGCCCTTTTGTACTGTTTTTCCTTAAGTCTGACATGAATGAGTTTCCCTTCTCAATGGAGCCACTGAACCACTTAAGAATCTTGGTCTTATTGCAGCCTGGCTGCCTCTTTCAGGTGATTACCTCACAGATGGAGATACCGGGCTGCAGTTCAATGACGCTGGAAAAGCCCATGAAGGTTTCTGGAAATCATTCCTGTTTCAAGGGCAAATAGCAAAACTTGAAAAACACTTTCTTGTGTATAAGTGAAAGCGATTGAGCCCTGCATGTAGTTCTAGATTAAAGACGTGTTCTTTCTCTTTTAAAAGTATCTTTTAAAGTGTTGTATTACCTTAGAATGTTAAAGGAATGAGAATTTAACTCAAGCTAAGTGAAGAATCACAATTAGATGGCAATCTGCGAGAAATTCTTTGCAAAAATCAGAGTGAAAACATTTCCCCGTAAACTTTAGCTGACTCTTTTCTTTGGAACTTAGAAGAGAAGCACAGTTTGGGGAGATCTATTGTTTGGGTTCATTACCTACTTGTACCCACTACACCTGTGTACTGTTGTTTACATGATTTAGCCACTGATTCCTCATGTGTAAAATGTAAATAAATATAGGAAGTATTATGCCATACCAAATATTGTGTCTAACAGGTGTAGCTACACCAAATAAACAAAAAAAGATTTTAAAGCCCAGATCACTACTAGAGGTAGAGTCATTTTATAAATAATTGATGTTTCAATTCAATAAGAAGATAGAATAATTTGAAATCTAAATAAACTTAAAATATATTAATAAAATTGATATACCAGCAAGGAGAAATAAATCCATGGCAGTGTGTATTAACTCATTGTTCTTAGTAATTAATGGAATAAAATGAACAGAAATAAATTAGTAAAGACATAGAATTGAAAGACAAGACTAAGAAACTAGACCTCACAGACATATATAGAACCTGCACACAACTGCAATTTTCACATTATTTCCAAGAACACCTGGAAAAATTACAAAAATTCATTATTTGCTGATTCATAACTAGATCTCAACCATTTTTAAAGAACTGGAAATACATCATAGTGAAATTAAGCTGAAACTGACTAACAAAATTACAACTTAGATAAGTCTCCAAATGATGAATAAATCACAATAGAAGTTTTAAATGTTTTAACTAGACAAAAATGAACATCATAGATATACAATTTTAGAATGCTTATAAGAAGTATTTACTGGGGAAGTTACATCTTACATAAATCTATTGGGGGGAAAGTAAGAATAAAAATAGATCAAGAATTCATCTCAAAAAAAACAAAAAACCTCAAATTTGTAGAAGGAAGAAATTAAAGTCAGAGATAAATTAACAAAGTGGGAAACAATCATATGAAATAAGAAAGCCAAAAATTAACTGTTTCACAGGATGAATAAATCTGCCAGTCCTCTGTGTGTGTGGAGACTGAGCAAGACAGCAGGTGACAAAGGGCAAATAACCAAATAAACAACGAATTACAAAGGCACCATCGCAACAACTTGTAGATATTAAACAGCCAAGAAGGAAGATTTGAACGTAATGTTGGTCAATGTGGAGTGTTGGACAAATGATAAAATTCCTAGAAAATATATAGTAATAAAACTTACTCAAAAAGAAATATAGAACCTAAGTATTTCTGTAACCATTAAGGAAGTTTAATTCAGTAATCAAATATCTTCTTACAAAGAAAATTTTGGGCCCAGATCCCTTCACAGGAAAATCCATGGAAGAGATAGTCTAATCTTTTGGAAGTTTTTCCAACCAGTAAAGAAGTAGTAATACCCAAATTATTTTATAAGGATCATATAACTTTGATACCAGCCCTGACCAGAGTAATATGAAAAGGACAATTTCAGTCAAATTCCTCTCATGAATATAAATGGAAAACCCTCAACCAAATGTTAGTGAATTCAGCAATGTATAAAAAGGATTGGTAATCAATGACCAAGTTAATTTAGTTGAGAAAGTCAAGATTTGCTAACATGTAAAAAAAAAATGTAATACAGATTAAAAGAAAGTATCATATGACCATTTCAAAAAATATAGAAAAAAATATTTTTTCTATATTTCAATAAATATAGAAAAAATATTCCTCCTATACTCTTGAATTTTAAAAGTTCTTAGAAACTAAAGGTAGGAAGTAATATCCATGATATCATATAAAATACCTATAGCAAACATAAATTGTAACTAAAATGTTGAAAACTTTTCCTTCTATGATTAAGAAAAAGGCAATAATATTTGCTATCATCCCTGCTATTTAACCCTTTTTTTCTTTTTTTTCCCTCAAAGTTTCTACCAATGCAGTAAAGCAAGTTAAAGAAATAAAGTTATTAGGATTGACAGCAACAACCTACTGTCATTATTGGCAGATGGTTTGAGTTAATAGGGTATTTAGCAATGTTGATGGATATAATATATAGTAGTCAACTGTATTTTCATTATGTGCACATCATTTTTAACTAGTATCTAGTAATAGCAGATCTGCAATATCTCTCCGGAGAAAACTGT